AATTTCTTCATCTTCCGCAAGCATGAATATACTGATTTTACGAACATTTGCTTTCTCCAACTTCTCTCAGCATTGCTCATAAATCTTCTGTAGCTCACTGTCTTCAATAAACCTTCTTCCATCATTCTTGGTCTGTCCCTTTATATATATAGTATATTCCATAGATACTGATATATTATTATAAACATCATATATATATATATTGTAATTATATATACTTGCAATTTAACTATATACTATCATTAGTCATTATATATAATCATACATCATAATACAATTCTATCTCATATATATATTATATATACTGGAAATATTATTTACATATATTTCTTACATATGTTATTCCATATGTATCATAATGGAATAATAACTATTTATGTATTTCTGAATTTTGGGCTCTCAAGAGCTGAGAGAAGCTGAGGCTTAATTTCATCTCCAGATTCTACATAGGCCTTAGGCAATGTACTAAGAAATGCTGTTTTTCAAAATAGCATAATACAGTGAAAATGATTGTGTGAACAACAACCTAACATTCCACCCAAAGTATACAAGGTTATGCTTGTCCCAGTATGTTAATAGAACAGATTTTACTGGTCAGGGACTATTAGAAAAAAACACCCAAAACACTGTGACCTTTGGCATTAACCTGAACTTTGTTCTTTTGTAATAAAGGTACCTCTCGCCTACCCATTCTTCCTCCACAAATCCAGAGTCTTAAGGCATAGCTTCTGCAGCAATGACTTCATTATGTGATTCAGGCAGTGCTTTGGAACATCATAAAATTAAATCAGCACTCCTAAAACTGGGGTGTGCAGCATGCCCCAAAGCAATGTCTACGTATGGAGGTATGCCAGACCATGAAATAAATCGATGTATTCATTGGGTTTATCGGAAGAATTTTGGGACGCAAAGTTAAATACTCTCTATTATGCTGACATTTGAAATAAACCACAAATACTACTATATGGGATGTCAAAGAGAAAGACCAGAAGTCTAAAGGACAGTGATCTTTAGCGCTTATTAACTAATGTCCGTCTTCCTGTGGTTTTTGGGCACTATTGTGGAAAAATTTTGAAGATTGCCCTAATAGATAATTTAACCACTGACACACCGGTGTCTATAATAGAACAATATGCTACATTAATTGGTGAATATGAAAGTATCAACCAATGCAGAGTCTCAAATCAATACAAGAGTCTATTGTTAAGTGTAGAAAATGATTAAAAGTGTAAACCAATTTTAGATAAGATATCATCAAAAAAGATATCTATCTATAATCCTGAAAGAATACAAAATATAGTATCTTGTCCTCTGACAAAATAGAAATTCATGAATTCATTTTTCTTTTCTTCAGTGGTATTTTTCTTCCATGTTTTTAAAATGTCTGCTTAAAACTGTGTGTTTGTTAATTGGAAAAAAATAGATGATTTGCTTATCAAGTAACAGTATAAGGTCATGATACATATAATTAAGAGACCACATATTTTGGGTTAATTATTGTTTTAATCTTGCCCTAAATGAAGTTATTTATTGAAATTATTTATAGGGCATGTTGCATAGATGGATTTATTTTATTACTTTGAGTCCTGTGTTTTTTCCAATAGTTATTCCTGTTAATAATAACTCATTAACTCCTATCTGTGAAACTCTTTGAGAAATGTGAGAACAGATTATAATTAGCTCTTCTTACTTGCCAAGGTTAGGGAACGTCAGGCAGAATAAACGTTACGGGTGAGCTGTTCTGCTAGTAGTTCAGGCATCTGATGTTTCACCATTCAGGAGCAAATCTTTATCCCGTGTTAAGAATGACTAATCTAGAATTAGTTTATCCTGTGTAAGAATGAGTAATCTAGAATTAGTTTTGCCTTAGCGGTTTTTCTTCCAGTTGCCTTAACTTTCCAAATAACAGCCAACAAAGTTAGACAGAAGTTTTAGATGTTCAAGAAGGAAACAAAAATAGCAATTATATATATGCCTCAGAGACATTTGGCAAAAATTATCTTTTAAGTGTTAGTACTTAGCAAGGCAAACTTCATTTCCCAGAAATGCTGGATAAAGGAAGCATTCTTTTTCACATAACATTTAAAATAGGTCAAATTGAGACATTCCTCTTTAAAGTTTCTATTTTATAGGCTAAAAGTCTCCAGAATAGGATGCAGTTTACCAGTGAAATATAGTCGTTAAAAAAATGCAAGAATTCTGATAGCACAAGACCTACCACAATGAATGTTTACTGAATAAAGCAAGAAACA